CCCGGATGGTGGGGGGTGAGGGCCATCCCCACAGAACTCAGCCCCCCAAAGCCTAGCACAGCGCCTGACCCATAGTAGGTTCTCACTTAACCCGCAGGTGACAGAAAGTGCAAAAGGGTTAGGGAAAGAACAAATGAGTGGAAAACAGGAATGAAAGGGAGGACACTGTCAGGAGAGAACACAGGCAAGATATGAACAGCTGGCTGGGCGCGGTGGCTCACGCCTGTAATCCCAACACTTTAGGAGGCCGAGGCGGGCGGATCACCTGAGGTCAGGAGTTTGAGATAAGCCTGGCCAACGTGGAGAAACCCTGTCTCTACTAAAAATACAACAATTAGCCAGATGGGGTGGCATGCACCTGTAGTCCCAGCTACTCGGGAGGCTGAGGCAGGAGAATCACTTGATCCCTGGAGGTGGAGGTTGCAGTGAGCTGAGATTGCACCACGCACTCCAACCTGGGTGACTGAGCGAGACTCTGCCTCAAAAAAAAAAAAAAAAAAAAAAAAAAAAAAAAAGACGTAAGGAGCAGCTGACAACACAGACGTTCTTTCACACAGCTGGTCAGCTGACAGAGATGTCTTGGACACCCTCTGGCTGGCTAGTCTACATGTTCTAGACGACTGAAAATTCCCATCTTTCACGGTGTGCTTATTTGCAGTCTAAAGAAATTTCCTTTTGGTTAGAAGATGTAGTTCGAGGAGTTTAAATTGGTGTGGGAGGCCATCAGGGTTCCTCTGAGCTGGGCTGGTTGGGAAGGGAGGTGTCTGTGGCTTTATTTCTTTTTCGTTATCTGCAGATGTGGCAGAAAATCGAGGATGTGGAGTGGAGACCCCAGACTTACTTGGAGCTGGAGGGTCTGCCTTGCATCCTGATCTTCAGTGGGATGGACCCGCACGGGGAGTCCTTGCCGAGGTGAGTGGAGGGGTGATGCCCCTGGGGTTCTCTGAGGAGCTGGCTGCCTGGGCCCCCTCAGGGAGCGTGTCAGGGGGACTGCCATGCCCTGACGGCAGGCAGCACCACTCGCATTCACAGGCACTGTGGGTGGGACCTTCATCGTGGCTTTCCCAGCAGGGGCCTGAGTGCGTCTGAGGCCGGTGCCCCTTTTCCTGATTCTCAGAAAGGCACTGTTTAGGCTCGTGGTGATGGCTGTGGCCGGGCTCTGCAAGTGGAGGCCCTACAGCTGGAGTCAGGATTTAAAGCCTCCTGAGTTCAGTTTCTCCCCATGGGGCGCTCTGTGTGCTTTGGGGATGGCAGTTCTGCTTGGGACAGTAAGGCATCCGCTCCAGGACTTGCGGCCACAGTTCCTGTTGGTACCTAGGCCGCCGCAATGCCTGGGCCCTCCTGGCTTAGGAGGTGTTCTGGGAGTGGGGGCAACTGACGCTGCTTGGGAAGTGCTGATTCTTCCGGCACAGAGTGGACTGTCTCAGAAGGTGTGTCCCTCCGAAGCCATGACAGCCTGGAAAGTCTCAGCCACACATCCACTCGATGTCCCCTGGGGGAAGGTCTCTAGGCCACCACACAGACATGCAGACACTCGAGACTCAGGTCACTGGGCCTCCTGTACGGCGGTTTCTTGGATTGGTAGTGACAGATTGGGTTTTAGAGACTTCATACCCATGGAGAGGAGCAGACGGCCGGCCACAGATAGTAAAAGCCGACATCAGTGGAGTTCCTGTATGTTCTGGGCACTGTCCTAGATTCTTCTTTTATGTTTTATTTCATTTTACTCTCACCTTAACCCTGGGGGAGAGGTGCTATTTCAGTAGTCCCATTTTACAGATGAAGAAACTGAGGCCTACTGAGATTAAGCCAGTCTGGCTGGCAGTGGGCCTGGCTTCTTCCCCCAGGACCACCCCACACTTCAGCAAACAGCCCTCTGCATGCTGCGTACTCATGGGCCAGGGGAAGGGGGGCTCCAGAACATTTGACCTTGGTGGTTGCTATTTCACATGGGTTAATTCTTTTCTTCTTGAACTCCTTAAGGACTGAGACAATGTCTTAATCTGTTTTAAATTTTAGCAAGCATTTGCTGAGTACCAGGCACCTTCTGTAACCTTCTTTATACCAGGCACCTTCTGGTACCTTCTTTGTACCAGGCGTCATGATAGACTTTTCATATAAAACTTACTCCTTGCTGCAGTAGTATCACCATCCTGTTTTATGGTTGAGTCAATGAACGATCATTTGCCTGAGGTCACGTGAGCAGTAAGTTTCAGAGCCCCATTGGAACCCTCACGCACCTCTCTCTAAACCCTTTGCCGTGATTGTGTTTCTGCTGCGCGAGTCTGAGCATGGGGTTGGCCTTTCCTCTCCTGCTCACAGGTAGCATTGCCTGTTGGTGTCCGACTTGATTGCCATCATATTTCTAGCATCTAGTACCCTGGCATGTGTTCACTTGGATTGAATAATTAAATGCCCACTGATTACATTTAATCTTTATCACAGTGGACTTAGATATTTTTTATTTTTATTTTTATTTTTTTGAGATGGAGTCTCACTCTGTTGCCCAGGCTGGAGTACAGTGGCGCAATCTCAACTCCACTGCAGCCTCCGCCTCCTGGGTTCAAGTGATTCTCCTGCCTCAGCCTCCCGAGTAGCTGGGATTACAGGCACCCGCCTCCACAACCGGCTAATTTTTCTATTTTTAGTAGAGATGGGGTTTTGCCATGTTGGTTAGGTGGTCTCGAACTTCTGACCTCCAGTGATCGGCCCGCCTTGGCTTCCCAAAGTGCTGGGATTATAGGCGTGAGCCACCGCGCCCAGCCAGATGGTTATTAATATTTATTCCCATCTTTCAGATGAAAAAATCAGAGCCTTATAGCAGAGCTCAGGTTCAAGCCCCTTTTTTATCTGGCCCAAAAGTTAATGCAGCACAGGGCTAAGTGCACAGTGGGTGTCCCCAAAGATTTACTATTATACTGAATTTGTTGCTGCAAGCTGCCAGTAACACTGTTGGCTTTTCCACTTGTACGAGTCCCTGGGTCCTCACCAGGAAGGTGGGGCATAGTCCTGATCAGTGCTGCCTATAGCAGTGGGAACAGCACCCCACTTGTGGAAGGCGCTAAACAGACACTCTCTTCTGTGTCTTGCTAGGTCTTTGAGGTACTGCGACCTGCGATTGATAAACTCATCCTGCTTGGTGAGAACAGCCTTGGAGCAGGAGCTGGGCCTGGCTGCCTACTTTGTGAGCAACGAGGTTCCCTTGGAGAAGGGGGCTAGGAACGAGGCCTTGGAAAGTGATGCAGAGAAGCTGAGCAGCACAGACAACGAGGATGAGGAGCTGGGGACAGAAGGTGAGAGGTGGCTGCCCTCAGCCTAGGTGTCCATGTCCGCACGTCTTTCTTGGCTTCTGAGCTTTGAGGCTGCCTGTGCTTATGGAGACAGCCGTCTCCAGTTCAGCAGGTCCTGGGGCCTCTCTGCTGGACAGCAGCTCTGGATGAGAGGTTTCCAGTGTTGGATGAAATGGCAGAGCTCTCCTTGAATTCAGATTTTGCTTGTTTTCTCCCCGTCTCTTTTGGTGGTGTGAGAAAATGGAAATCCCTATAGAGGTTCTTCCTAGTTCCAGAATTCTTAAAGAGTAGGAAGAAAAATTAAGATTTTTTAGAGTTCAAGTTCAAAATTTCTTAAGAGTTCCTCGTTCCACTCACTGGTGGGATTCTGACCTGGTGTGATTTGCTTGCTTATTTCGTCTGTGCATCAACCCAACAGTATGCTGTCCATTCTTAAGATTTATGAAAACAGGCTCATTCGCAGACTCTTCAAATCTGATGCCATCTTTTTCATAGGACACATAAATGGTAACATCACAAGGCATTGACTGTAGTCAACAATGTGATGAGAAATATGTAGACAATCATACAAAAACTAGAAAGCATTTATGGAGTGTGTAGAGGGGAAGGAGGTGGGTGTGGGCACTAGACTGGGTCTGTGGTCTCCCTCCTCTGTCTTGACTATGGGACCTCTGCTAGCCTCAGCTTGCTCATCTGTAAAATGCAGATGGAAGGACCTGCCCGCCTATAGCCGTCTTTTCAAAGCACAGCAGGGACTCTGATTTAATTCTTTCACTTGTGGGTATCTGCTGCACCTCTCCATGCTCCCTGGTGTCTCAGGACCCCCTTCTTTAGTTTCACCATCTGCCTCTCTCTACCCACAGCCCCCACTGCACTGTGCACTGGCCCACATTAAACTTGCAGTGGCCGGGCTGTGCTCTGCCCTCCTGGCCTCTGCACTGCACGGCTGCCCTTCCTGCTGCTTGGAGTTTTCCTTTCTCTGCTTTACCTGGAAAGCCCTGTGGCCCTTCAGGACGAAGGCCAGCTGCCCCCTCTTCCAGGAGATGCCCTGCTTTTCCCGCAGGCTCCCCGACCCGTCTTTTTTGCATCTCCTCCACCAGCTTGCAGCTGTGCCTCATGGGCAGGGGCCTTCACTGCACCCAGAGTGCCTCCCTGCACCGCAGCCCACTCCTGTCTCCTCAGGGCCCTGTCCATGGTGGGGGCCTGGAAGATGGCAGTGAATGAGTGAATGGCTGGGGAGAGGTGATCATGGGAACACACTTTACACACTGCGAAGTGCTGGGCAAATGTCAGGGATGGTTATTTCGGTGCATTCTCAGCCTGTGTGTTTTGAAACAGGCTCCACCTTGGAGAAGAGAAGCCCCATGAAAAGGGAGAGGTCCCACTCCCACGACTCAGCATCCTCGTCCCTCTCCTCCAAGGCGTCCGGTGAGTCTTCCCACGCGGGAAGGACCAGATCAGCGAACTGGTTTTTGAGGTTTCAGAGAATGAAAAGAAACATATATAGGGCTATTTGCTGATCCTTTATTTTCCATCAGAACTGGAAAGATAAGGAAATCTTTGAAGCACTGGACTCTAGAGAGTAAATGTTCTGGTGAACTTGGGATTGGAGAACTTGAAGACTGAGCAAGACTGTAGGGTTCCGCTGCCCCTGTCCTCAGGTGAAGACCATGGACGCTGCCCCTCACTGTGGCTGGGGCCTCAGGCTGAGTCTGGCCATGTTAGGGGCGGGTCCCTGGGTATTCTCCCTGCTGCTGTTAGCTTGGGAAAACCCCGTGCCCTGTGGAGAGAGCAGCTGAGCACAAGGAGAGAAATAGACACGGAGACTTCACTGGGGGAAGAGCAACAAAAGGCAATACAAGCTCATGAGCCCTCCATGTAGCCAGAGCCACAGGAAGTGGGCAGTGCCAATCACAGGCTTTACACGGTCTCTGCCCTAAGGGGTCCGTCTGTCTCCGAGAGCGGTCAGGACCACGAACATGAAAGAGTGTCCCGTCTTCCCGCCACAAGCATTATGAGGGCCTCCTTGCTATCTGGATCAGCCCTGAGGATAAATGAGATGTAGACCTGACCTCAAGGAACGAACTCATCGTTCTCATAAAAGACGTGTTATTTTGCAGTCGTTTTTCGCACACATTTTCACTTCACATATGAGGAAGTCTGTACTTTTGTCCCAAGGCAGAGGGCAGATTTCAGGGTAGGGGAGGTTACCACAGGTTTGAGAGAGCAGCTGACCCCCAACCAGGCTTTGCAGAAGGTGTTATAAATGGAGGAAGCCTTAAGGGCTGAGAGGTTCAGGGGCGAGACGCACAGGGCCTGGGTGCAGGGACAGGTGCGGTGGCCGCAGGCCCCCATTGCGGGAGGCAGGGAGGCACCTAGCTGTGGCTGGGGCAGCGACTGAGAGTCGCTGCTGTTAGATCTGGGATGGGGAAAGGTCAGAGGTCAGAGCCCACCAGGAGACAGACTGGGGGCATCTTCTTTTTCCCTCATCTCCTGTGCTGTGCTCCCAGACATCCCCGATGGAGTCAGCACTGAGCCTCTTCACCCTCAGCCCAGAGCTCGGAGATTGAAAGAAGCCCTGCCTCATAGGCCGGAGCTCAGTCAGAAAAGCCAGCGCCGCAACCACTGGGTCTGTTTGCCTGAAACACAAGTACAGGAGGCCTGGGGCAGAAACAGGAGCCACCGGCAAGCTCTGGGACAGCTCACTCCTGGGACGAGTCGCCCCTGAGATGGGCCACTCCTGGGACGAGTCGCCCCTGAGATGGGCCACTCCTGGGACAGGTCACTCCTGGGATGGGCCACTCCTGGGACAGGTACCTTCTAGGATGTCCCTGACCAGGTTCATCTCTCCTCAGGTTCAGCGCTCGGTGGTGAGTCCTCGGCTCAGCCCACAGGGCTCCCCCAGGGAGAGCATGCCAGGTCGCCCCAGCCCTGTGGCCCCACAGAGGAGGGCAGAGCCCCTGGTGAGAAACAGAGGCCCCGGGCAAGTCAGGGGCCACCGTCGGCCATCAGCAGGCACAGTCCTGGGCTGATACCCCAGCCTGACTGCAGTCTCAAGACCAGCCAGAGGAGCGTCCAGGTGTCGGTCACCTCGTCGTGCTCCCAGCTGTCCTCCTCCTCGGGCTCGTCCTCCTCATCCGTGGCGCCTGCTGCCGGCACGTGGGTCCTGCAGGCCTCCCAGTGCTCCCTGACCAAGGCCTGTCGCCAGCCGCCCGTCGTCTTCTTGCCCAAGCTCGTGTACGACATGGTTGTGTCCACTGACAGCAGCGGCCTGCCCAAGGCTGCCTCCCTGCTGCCCTCCCCCTCAGTTATGTGGGCCAGCTCTTTCCGCCCCCTGCTCAGCAAGACCATGACGTCCACTGAGCAGTCCCTCTACTACCGGCAGTGGACGGTGCCCCGGCCCAGCCACATGGACTACGGCAACCGGGCCGAGGGTCGCGTGGACGGCTTCCACCCCCGCAGGCTGCTGCTCAGCGGCCCCCCTCAGGTGGGTGTTGCTCGCTGCCCCAGCACAGCCCCGGACTGGGGGGTCCTCGCACTCCCATCTGGAGGGCAGGCATGGGGGTGACCGCACCCGCGTCTTCACTTTTCACGCTTCCCATGATGGAATCTTCTCCAACAGCCTGGAGTGGACCAGAGGGAGGAGGGCGGGACTCATCTGCCACTCAGGGCTGGTGGCTTCCATTCCTTCCTGTGTCATGTTGGGGGTGGACGGGAGACCTCTCTGGGTGTATCAGACTACGGTTCCTCACCCCACGTCATCTCACTCGGCCACTGCGCATGTTCTCTAACAAATAGAAACAAAACTCTGGGTTCTCCACTGGAAGTTCGGTGAACCATGAACGGAGAACTGGGGATTCTCTTTCCCAGTTGCAGCCTGGTGTTTCCTTAATAGCAAAAGTCCATTTCACCTCTCAATGGCAGAATCTCCTGGGCGTGAGCATGTGGGGAGGAGGAGGCTGGGGACTGAGGTCTGCTCTTCAGAACGGAGCTGGGCTTTGGGGTTGGAATGCGGTTCAGTATTCCTTTGTGTCTTAAACTTGTACAATGAACAATATTACTTTTTCTGATTTAAAAAGGACAAAAGAAAATGTTTCTTACCGAGGAGTCTCCCTTCTTCCACACCCTCACACTATTGGATATTATCAATTTAAAATTGTTGTCTCTTTGATAGGTGAAAAATAATACATTACAGTTTTACTAGTAAGATTGACATATTCTTGTATTTTTACTGGTCGTTGCTACTTCTTTTTCAGTGATTTTCTGTTTTTTCTTATTTGTTTTTGCTTTAGGCCTTTGACATTTCTTGTTGATTTGTAGAAGCGCTTTAGATATTACAGATTTTTGTCCTTTGTCTATCATCTGTATTGCAGATTTTTTCTCTGAAGCTTCCCTGTGGTTGGGTGTCATGTTTTCCTCTGTAAACTTAGTTATTTCCATTCATTGGCATTTGCTGAGTTGTAGCATGAACCAGGCGTTGGGCTCGGTGCTTGGAAAGCACGTCCCTGGAGTGGCTCTCTTATTTATTATTGTTATTATTTATTATTATTGTTATTTTTCAGACAGAGTCTCGCTCTGTCGCCAGGCTTGAGTGCAGTGGCACGATCTCGGCTCACTGCAGCCTCTGCCTCCCGGGTTCAAGCGATTCTCTTGCCTCAGCCTCCTGAGTAGCTGGGACTACCGGCGGATGCCATCACGCCCAGCTAATTTTTGTATTTTTAGTAGACACGAGGTTTCACCATGTTGGCCAGGATGGTCTCGATCTCTTGACCTCGTGATCCACCTGCCTCGGCCTCCCGAAGTGCTAGGATTACAGGCGTGAGCCACCCCGCCTGTAGTGGCTCTTTATACAGGGGTGCAAGGAGGGTACTGGGCCAGACCATGAGTACTTCTCAACAGTAATAACCAAAATGAACTAAGATTAATAGGAGGTATGCTGCCCTGAAGCTTGGCTGGGGAAGCAGGGAACTCTGTGTTACAGGAAGCAGGAGAAGGAAGAAGAAAGTCGTTCTTTTCCTGGGTTTAGAAGGAGAAATACAAGAAGCACTTTTTAAAAATGTCTTATGCAATGAATTTTGCTATCTTGTACAGACATATGGATTAAGACAAGCAATTTGCAAGATTCATAAGACATTATGTTTTATAATATCCTATTTTTTGGAAGCAGCTTTCTTCGGCTTATGATACAATTCTATTTCTAACAGCTGAAAAATGCGACTGGTTAAAATCTAGAGATGCATTTGCGATGATATTTAAGCAGGAAGGCCTCATGCTCATGGGAGTCCATTTGTCCACCTGCCATGCTTGTTCCCTTCAAATATCTTTGCATCCACGGGACTCTCATTTTAAAGACAGGATCTTCAAGTGAGGCAGATGGCAGGAGCCATGCCAGGTGTTCAGCCGGTGCCTGGCACATGGATAGGGCTTCCTCACTGGGGGTTTTAACTCCCATACCTTTACAGATCGGGAAGACAGGCGCCTACCTGCAGTTCCTCAGTGTCCTGTCCAGGATGCTTGTTCGGCTCACGGAAGTGGATGTCTATGACGAGGAGGAGATCAATATCAGTGAGTTATCTGTTTGGGGATATGTGGGCTTGGAACCACCTGCATCACTTTCTCAAGTGACTTTAATTTTATATTTCACTTTCTAGATGGAATTCTCAGATTCATGATCAGACTCATCCCAAGGACCTTATAGGGGGTGCTATTTATCTTGCAGTCATTTTTCTCAGTATCAGGCCTTTGCTGTAGGGATACAATTACGATTAGTAGATGACTGTTTACTGAGTACCTTCTGCATGTGGAGTGCTGAACTTGATACTTTGCATAAGTTACCATGTTAATTTCCTAGGCCCAGTGTGAGGTAGATGTTCCATTCTCCTCATAAATCACATGCCTGGGAGCCCAGCTGAGTAGTGGCAGGGCTGGATGGAATTAGATTTGACTGCTGCCTCTGCAAAGCAGACTTACCTCTCAGGGGAGGTTTCCTGCTCAGACAGCTGGGCAGGGAGGTCAGTGTCTTGGGGCACAATAGAAATACGTGAAATGTGGGAAAAATCCTGTTCTCGTTTCCAGAACAGAGTTTACCCTGATTAAGATCAGCTTCTTGGCCTGGTGCGGTGGCTCACGCCTGTAATCCCAGCACTTTGGGAGGCCGAGGCGGGCAGATCATGAGGTCAGGAGATCGAGACCATCCTGGCTAACACGGTGAAACCCCGTCTCTACTAAAAACACAAAAAAATTAGTCGGGTGTGGTGGCGGGCGGCTGTAGTCCCAGCTACTCGGGAGGCTGAGGCAGGAGAATGGCGTGAACCCGGGAGGCGGAGCTTGCACTGAGCTGAGATCGCGCCACTGCATTCCAGCCTGGATGACAGAGCGAGACTCCATCTCAAAAAAAAAAAAAGATCAGCTTCTTTTTGAGCTCGTATAAAATAACCTCCCCTGTTTCCTCATCATCACTCCTCCCAGGGGCTCATAAACTTGGTCTGGTCAATGAGTCTGATGTGCTGGGAGAGCGAGCTTGTCAGACAGTCCTGTCTGTGTTGTGGAGAGCTTGCCAGCCAGCTGCACCGGTGCTGAAGGGCACTTGGTGCGGTGCTGTCAACTGTGCTTCAGTTTTGATTTGGAGAAAATCTGGAGCCAAGGAAACTGGTCCAGCCCTCGGCCTTCCCTCCCAGGAAAGGAGAGGCTCTTCAGCCTGGCTCTGAGTTTTCTAAGGTTTCCCCACGGTTTGGAACCACATTTCAGATGAAGTCTGCAGCCCTGCTGAATTTGTCTCCTTTCTTTCTTGGACATACCAGTGATGAAGACAGAATCTGAACCCAGTTTGTTCAATGATAAAGCCCATTCTTTAAATCTTATCTCTTTCGTTGAATAGGGATAATTTCTGTTTTATAGGGATTAAATGTGACACACACAGAGCACCAAGACCTTTTTTTTTTTTTTGAGACAGAGTCTAGCTCTGTTGCCCAGGCTGAAGTGCAGTGGTACCATCTCGGCTCACTGCAACCTCCACCTCCCAGGTTCAAGTGATTCTCTTGTCTCAGCCTCTGGAGTAGCTGGAATTATAGGCATGTGCCACCATGCCCGGCTAATTTTTGTATTGTCAGTATAGACAGGGTTTCACCATGTTGGCCAGGCTCGTCTCGAACTCCTGACCTCAACTGATCCACCCACCTCAGCCTCCCAAAGTTCTGGGATTACAGGTGTGAGCCACCATGCTTCACCAAAACCTATTAAATATTCATAGGCATTTCTCCCCTGCCTTCCTATGGACATGCACTCTGCGCATGTGTGCACTATAGTAGGACATGTATTTAATATAATCAACATGTTTTATAATTTGAGTTGGGCCAACTAGATTTTTCTACCTTTTAGCTGACAGACATTTAGTAAGCACCATAGACGACAATGATTACCATGTGAGATGAGACATGGCAAATGGAAAACTGGTTTGGACTACGAGTGTTGTTGGCACCAGAAGGGAGAAGGCCCTGGGCTGGAGCACTCCAAGAGCCTTTCTACAGGTGGAGTGACAGGAGCTGAGCCATATTGGCTGGGGAGCATTTAGATAGAGGCAAGAAAGGAAGCTATGCAGGTTTTGCTGGCTTTGGCCACCAGTGTGATCATCTGGGGAGACGGGCTGGAGTGAAGCACAGGGCTGAGGTCCTCTGGGTCAGGACTCTGGCCGGAGTGGAAGTCAGACTTAGGACAGGAGAGCAAAGCCATTCTCACAGCAAACAGCACAAGGCTGTTCCTCTGGATGGAGATAGCTCTGAATCCACGTTCTTGCCTCATTAGAACGGTCCTGAAAATGGAATATGTGTCAGGAGCCTTGCAGATACGATGGGGTTTCCCAGCAGCCCACGGGCTCAATAACAATTGCACTCCAAGCATCATCCTTTGTGCACATTTAAAATGTAGTCGTGCACCACATAATGATGTTTTGGTCAACAGACTGCATCTGTGACACTGGTCCCATGAGATTCTAGGGTAACTGAAAAATTCCCATCACCTAGTGATATCGTAGTCATCGGAATGCTGTGGCAAGAGGCATTCCTCAAGTGTTTGTAGCGATTCTGGTGTAAATAAACCTGCGCTGCCAGTACTGTCAAAAGTCTAGCACATACAATTATGTACAGTACATAGCACTTGATAATTATAAGCAGCTGTTACTGGTTTATGTATTTACCATACTTTTATGGTACTCAACTCCTACTTATTAAAAAGCAGTTAACTGTAGAACAGCCTTGGGCGGGTCCTTCAGGAGAGACTTCAGAAGATGGCATTGTTCTCATAGGAGATGACAGCTCCATGACTACTACTGCCCCTAAAGACCTTCTAGTGGGGCAAGGCTGGGAGTTTGAGACCAACCTGGCGAACATGGTGAAACCCCATCTCTACTAAAGGTACAAAAATTAGCCGGATGTGTTAGCACGCACCTGTAATTTCAGCTACTCGGAAGCCTGAGGCAGGAGAGTCGCTTGAACCCAGGAGGTGGAGGTTGCAGTGAGCCGAGATGGTGCCACTGTACTCCAGCCTGGGTGACATAGTGAGACTCTGTCTCAAGAAAAATGACAAAAACAATAAAAAACAAATAAAAGTAGAAAAATTAAAATATTAAGCTCATGGAATGAGGATATCAAGAAAGAAGACATTTTTGATCAGTTGTACAATGTATTTGTTTTAAGCTAAGTGTTATTACAAAAGAGTCAAAGAGTTAAAAAGGTTATAAAGTTAAAAAGTTATCAAAACCACAATGAAATACCATCTCACACCAGTTAGAATGGCGATCATTAAAAAATCAGGAAACAACAGGTGCTGGAGAGGATGTGGA